AGTTTTAACAAAAACGTGAAGAAAGAAATTAGGAACGATCATAGAAACTATACTAACAATCTAATAAAAGATATAATACAAGATAACTGCAATATGAAAGTACTGAAAGCAAAAAACTCACCGTCTGAGACAGAAAGGAAATGAGTGAGGCCATTGAAAAATTCTACAATAAATTATACTCGGTAAATACACAACCACAACAACGACGTACTGAACGAACAATAATTAACACCGACTCAGAAGAAATACCGGACATAACCTACTATGAAATAAGAATGGCCCTAAATCAACTAAAAATGAATAAATGTCCGGGAGAGGATAAAATTACAGTTGAAATGTTGAAAATTGGTGGCAGAAAAATGGAACAGGTATTAAATATTTATTAATAAAGTATTGATGAAGAAAGATTCCTCAAGAATGGTACAACTCCGAAGTCATTCTACTATTCAAGAAAGGAGACAAAGCAAACATTGAGAAATACCGACCAATATCCTTGCTATCACATCTGTATAAATTACTAACTAAAATCATAACCAACCGCCTAACACATAAGCTCGATTTCTATCAACCTATCGAGCAGGCTGGATTCAGAAAACATTTTAGTACCATAGACCACTTGCAAACCGTAAGAACACTAATAGAAACATGCACCGAGTATAATGTCCTAATTCATATGGCATTTGTCAATTTCCATAAAGCATTTGATTCCATCGAATTATGGGCAGTGCTCGAATCTCTAGAAAATGCACATATAGATTCAAGATACACTAACATAATTAAAAACATATATGAAAATGCCACCATGCAGATAAAGCTGGACGAAAGCACAAAAACTAATCCCATAAGACTACAACAGGGAGTAAGACAAGGAGACACCATCTCTCCCAAACTATTTACCCTTGCTCTAGAAGACATTTTTAAGAAACTAGAATGGAACAACAAGGGTATCAACATTGACGGATCATACTTAAACCACTTGAGATTCGCAGATGACATAGTTTTAATAACTGATAATATCCAAGAACTAAACGATATGTTACAACAATTAAATGCAGTTTCAGGAGCTAGGAAAACCAAATCAAGATGCTGAAATTAAAAGAAGAACACAACTGCCATGGGGTGCTTTTGGCTAAACTAGCATATATCTTGAAAAACACCTTAATTCCTGTAAACTTAAAGAAAAAGGTGTATAACACATGCATACTACCAGTTTGTAAAATTAGAAACAACACAAAGAGCAATGAAATGAATCATGCTTGGAATATCACTGAGAGACAAGATTAGAAACACTGAGATAAGACGCATAATGAAGATTAGGCATATTGTGGAAGAAATTACAAAAATGAAATGGCGCTGGCGATATAATGAAAACAGGTGGACACAGAGAATTCTAGAATGGAGACCAAGGACAACAACAAGATGGGAAGGCCTCAAAAAAGATGGTAGATGACATAAGAGCAGTGGCATGCAAACAGTGGATTAGATTGGCGCAAGATGGAGAAAGATGGAAGCAATTGGGAGAGACCTACATTCAGGAGTGGATGAGAAAATTGTTGACAAAGAGAGTATATCATATATGTATTTAACATAAGTAAAACATTCAATATGGCCAAAAATAATTTAAAACTTTTTAATAAAAGATTAGTACTTATTTAGTCTGTACAAACTCCCGCATTAATCTGATATTTAAAATGGAGTAACTGGGTTTAAAAATATTATATATAACAGAGATATAAAAATGAAAGATATAACAGAAGAATATAGGGAACTATTTCATTTACCTATAATTATATAACTAATTCTACAACAAACAGCGCCTACCTCTTGTGGTAGAAGTTCTACATTTTGGGTCCAAATAGGATCCCCCGAATTAATACCTTCAGTCTTCATAATAAGTTATTTTTTAGTTTTAGAGATTACTTCACTTCCACAATAAATAAAAATATAACCTAAAAATATAAAATGTGAAGTGACATTTGTCAGTTTCCTAGCTTCGAATTATGCAACTAATTTTACAAGTTCGAATTTAGAATTCGTGGATAGTCAGAACGTATTTGTAAACTTGATAAACAAACGTCGATATAATTTCTAGATTCTTACTTTGCAGGTAAAGATCCTTAAGTTTCTGTCATCGCTTTCCTTCATTCATTCTGTAATCCTTTTAATCTCACTAGTAATACATTCTTATAGTATATACCTACTTGTTAGATACTATCCTGAAACTTACAACTAAAATTTTGCAATAACTAATTAATCAGAGGATAGGCTTAGCAGATGAACAAGGTTTTTGTATTGAAAGATCGTGTACAGATGCAATATTCGTTATAAAGCAAATTACCGAGAAATCACTGCGTATTCCTCTTAAAATCACAAATATTAAAAAGCCTAGGTTTACATTTAGAACACCTGAACTAATAGCTGCCAAAGATGAAATGATTAATTTTCAGCGCTTGTCAGCTCAGTCGTTAGAATTCAAACCATAGATAAATAATTTTATAGATTCAAACAATGCTCACTGGAAACTTTCCTGTCAATCTGAAATTTGCGATTAAACCCTGCCTAAAAAAGGGTGATATCAATTCTTTTGATACACCAACTAGTCTACTTAACTAATTTTCAAAATTTTTTGAATTGCTTGTCCATGAGCAGCTGTTTAAATTTTTTCTTAATGAAGAATTATTCAACCATAGCTAGCACGTTTCTTTAAAGGTGATAATTGTTTGGATGCTGGAAAAGTCTTATACCTATGGAATTTTTTATGATTGAAGCAGGGCCTTTGACTGCGTTGATTTTGATGTTTAATTTGTAAAACTTGAATACTATGAGGTTACGAGGTGTGGCATTAAATTGGTTAATAAGTTATATTATTTGGACGTTTACATGCACTAAAACTTAAGGATAAAATTTTCAATCAGAACCACTGGCGGTGTCTATGGGTGTTCCACAGGGGAGTCTTCTGGGACCACTGATATTTATTATCTACCTAAATGACTTGGCCACAGTTGCTAAAACTCAAGAATTAAAGATAAAATACGCAAACTATAGTACGCACTTGTTCTGAGAGGTAACTTTTTAATGACCGAAGTTGAAAACTGGTTCTTGAATTCAAGACTTAGTTTTGATGGAGCACACCACTTGTTCCTGTTGTCAAGGAGACATGCAAAATCCGTGTATGTGCTGACTAAATTATGTTAAGCATCCGTTGCCAAGAGTAGAGGAGTTATTTGCAGCCCTCCAAGGTGGACACTTTTTTACAAAAGTAGATTTCAAAAATGCTTATAACCTTTACTTAAACTTTTAAGTTCGAGCACACACAGATGTATTATCAGTAAATAGGCTAAGTGTCTATTTTTCAGCTGAAATAAGGTATCTGGGCATATTATTGATAAGGAAGGGCTATAGAAAGATCCAGGGAAAATGAAAGCGACTATTTAATGCCCCAAACCTCAAAATATCTCTTAAGTTAGAGCATATGTTAAGATGATCAATTATTATGGCCGTTTTGTGGCCAATTTATCATCAGTACTGGAGCCATTGTGTAAGTTATTAAGAAGAGACGTACGTTTTATTTGGACTTCAGAGTGCAAGAATGCATTTTTAAAGGCTAAATTTCTTCAGGAAAAGGCCTTGCACACTATAATCCGGAGATGGAATTAAAATTGTTTTGTGATGCTTCTAGGTTTAACTTGCATGTCACCTACTGACAGGTGCTGTCATTAGGTGACATGCATGTATACCCGGATGGTTCAGAGAGGCCAATCAGTTTTATTTCCAGATTTTTGAAGCAAACATGAGGCTAAGTATTGTGTTATACATAGTGTGACCAACTCCAATTCAATCGAATTCGGGACAAGGCCAAAAAAAATACCTGAAATCCGGGACTAACAATGAAAATTGGGCCATTTTTTAAACAAGGACTGCAATCATTTTATTGATTATTTAACATTTTTATGTTGACAGAAAAAAATAGTATTAGTATTATGTCCGCAGAATTAAACTAACTTTCTTGAGATGTACTTTTCAAGAGTGTTCCTCAAGAGCTGCACAATAATATCAGATGTTTCCCCATCTTCAGCCGTAAAATTCAATATTTTCGTCTTCATGCCTTCTAATGGAACGAAATATTCACCACAACCGGAACATCTTTACGTTTCCAGGTTAGATGCATCGTAATGTATATTGCGTTGTTCATTGCATCAACCAATTGATTTTCGATGTACGGACCAAAGACATTTTTAACAATTGCCTCACATTTAGTACGAGTTGACTGAAATTTGGTCAATCCAAAGCAATTACGAAATATTTTCGATAACCGAAAGTTTCCATTTTCCTTAATCATATGATACGCCCACCTCCCGAGCTGCTATCATGGACACGACTTCGTAATTCGGGCCTTGCCCCGGATTTTTCGGGCTGGTTGGTCACACTAGTAATACAACAAGAGGCTTTAAAAATATATTGCTACAAATTTTATCAATATTTGTTAGAAAAGCATTTCTTCTTTATGTTCTGATTGTAAACCGCTGATGGCCATATTCGGATAAACATTCGGTGGCTTTACACATTCTAGGATCTTGTACAACTAGGGTTATGAGAATAATATATATACATCGGTTTTAGAACGTCTTTCGACGTTGTCCGATACCTAAACACCATCTCTTCCTATCTTCGCAGTCGTTTGTTGTTAAATTTCTTTCGCTCATGGACTTGTTTACGCCGTGTTGCCATTCTAATCTGGGTCTTCCTCTTTTCCGTCGACCTATCGGTTGCCATTCTACTACTTTTTTGGGGAGTCTTGTTGCTGGCATCCGTTGAACATGCCCATACCACCTTAATTGTTTCTTCTCTATATCTTGAGTTATATTTCCTTCTATTCCCATACGTTGTTTTATTACATCATTTCTGATTCGGTCTCGTCTGGAAATACCTAAAGATCTTCTCATTGCATCCATCTCTACTGCTTCTATTCGCTTTTTGTTCTTTTCACTAATTCTCCATGTTTCAGCGCCATAAAGAAGAGTAGTTTTAATCATGGTCTCATATATATTAAATTTTCTTCCTTTCGTTATCTCTTTACTCCACAGTATACCATTGAGACATCCTAAGACTTTCTTTGCTTGAGTGATTCGTTTTTCTATTTCCCGTGTATCAGTTCCTGTATTGTCAAAGGCAACACCCAAGTAGTCATAGCTCTGACAGCAGGAAATATGTTGTCCGTTTTCGAGGTCTATGTTATCTGACTCGTTTCCAATACAAAGATATTTGGTTTTTGTTGTATTGACATTCATTCCCCAGTCGTTATATTCTTCTATCAGTTTTCTAAGCATGTACTGCATGTCTTCCCTGTCGGTCGCTAGTACTACCTGGTCATCAGCAAACTGGAGTGTATATATACATTCATTGCTAAGTTCTATACCCATCCTATGCACCTTTCTTTTCCATCTTTCCAATGCTGCTGCAACATATATCTTGAATAAGGTTGGTGAGATACAGCATCCCTGTCGCAAGCCTTTTGTAACCAGGAATTCTTCCGTTAGATATTTTCCTGTTTTTATCTGTGCCTTTGAGTCTCTATATAGTTCTTGTACAGCATTTATCAATGTGTGGTTGATGTTAGATCTTTGCAACGTTGTCCACAATTTTGTTAAGGGGATGTTGTCATATGCTTTTTGCAGGTCTACAAAAGTAATATGAGTTTCTAGATTCTTAGCTGATCTTTTTTCTATTATTTGTTTAAGACAAAATACGTTATCGGTGCACGATCTTCCTGCACGGAACCCGCTTTGTTCTTCCTCTTCATTGTGCTTATATTCTTCCTCGATCATATTTCTCAAAATTCGTCCATACAGTCTGCTCAGGGTGCTGGTTACCGATATGCCTCTATAATTATTACAATTCCTTTTGTCCCCCTTTTTGTGTATTGAGGACATGTATGCCGTTCTCCACTGTTCTGGTACTGGGTGTCCATTTAGACACTGATTGATCACATAAGTTAAGTTTTCAAATAGTTTATGAGTTCCATTCTTAAGCATTTCAGCATAGATTCCCTCAGGTCCAGCGGATTTACCATTCTTTAGGGTCATTACAGCCTTCCTTACTGTTTCGATGTCTACCCTCGCTTCCTCTCCTTGTATATGTACTGACTGTGTTGGGGAGTTCGCTAGGTATTCTTGTCTTGTCTCTATCAGCAAGCTTTCATAGTGATCTTTCCATTGTCTTGGTTTTATGGTGTGTATGTGTGCTTTGTCTTTTCCTGTATTTTTTACTGATTGTATAAAATTCCATACCTCTGTACATTGCTTCCCTCCGATGTATGTATTGATTTCTTGACATTTCTGATCCCATGTTTTATCTTTTCTGTTTTATCATTTTTCGTAGTTGTCTATTGGTTTCTTTGTAAGCTTGATGGTCTTCAGTATTTTTTGTATTTAGCCATTTTAGATGCTGTTCTTTTTTCTGTTTTACCATATATTCGATTTCTTCGTTCCACCATATTTTGTTACTAATTTTGTTTTGCTGTATCCAGAGTGTCTCCTTAGAGGCCTGGTGTAAACTAGCAATAATATTCTCGTAAATATCTGAAAATGTTTGTCTCTCTATTTCTCGTAGTTTTTCATCCAGTCGTCGTTGGTATAGCTGTTTAGTACTATCATTTATAAAACTATTGAAGTTGTACTTCGGACTGTCCACTGTCTGCAAGTCTTCTAGGTTTTGGTCTCCGTGTATTATCTTAAATGGGAACAAAATTTTCGCTCTTACTAAGTAGTGATCGAATCCACATGTTATTCCTCGGAGAACTCTTACATCATTCGACTGCAATACAGATTTTTTTTACTAATAATATAATCGATGACTGATTTTAGATTGCGTGTTTGTTGAATCCAGGTATA